TATAAGAATGTCATTGATTTCTTGATATTAATTTTGTATCCTGCTACTTTTTCAAATTTATTTATTAAGTGTAGCATTTTTGATGGACTCTTTGGGGTTTTCTACGTACAGTGTCATGTCATCTGCGAATAATGACAGTTTAACTTCCTCCTTTCCTATTTGAATTCCTTTTATTTTTTTCTCCTGTCTGATTGCTGAGGCTATAACTTCCAGTACTATGTTAAATAAGAGTGGTGAAAGTGGGCATCCTTGTCTTGTTCCTGTTCTTAAGGGAAATACTTATAGTTTTTGCCCACTGAGTATGATGTTGGCTGTAGGTCTTTCATATATGGCCTTTATTATGTCGAGATATGATCCCTCTATTCTCAGATTGCTGAGCGTTTTTATCAGAAATGGGTGCTGGATTTTTTGAATGTTTTTTCAGCGTCTATTGATATGATGATATGATTTTTATCTTTCATTTTGTTTATGTGATGTATCACATTTATTGATTTGCAAATATTGTACCATTCTTGCATCCCTGGGATGAATCTCACTTGGTCATGGTGAATAATTTTTTTTTTTTATGTATTGCTGGATTAGATTTCCTAGTATTTTGTTCACGATTTTGGCACCTATGTTCATCAGGGACATTGGCCTGTCGTTTTCTTTCTTTGTAGTGTCATTTTGTGGTTTTGAAATTAGAATTATACTGGCCTCATAAAACAAGGTTGGAAGTCTTTCTTTTTGAACTTTTTTTAATGGTTTGAGGAGAATGAGTTTTAGTTCTTTGAATTTTCAGTAAAATTCCCCCATGAAGCCATCCGAGCCTAGGCTTTTGTTTGCTGGGAGAGTCTTTATAAGATCTTCAATTTTTTTTTTTTTTTTTTTTTGTTATTAGTGTTTTCAAGTTTTCTACCTCTTCCCAGTCCAGTTTTGGGGAACTATATGTATCTAGAAATTTGTCCATTTTGCTTAGATTGTTGAATTTTTTGCTATATAATTGTTCATAATATTTTTTAACAAGCCTTTGTATTTCTGTGTTGTCAGCTATTATTTCTCGTCTTTTATTTCTGATTTTGTGTATTTGGGTTCAATCTCTTTGTTTCTTGGTGAGTCTAGCTAATGGTTCATCAATCTTGTTTATCTTTTCAAAGAACCAGCTCTTTGATTCATTGATCCTTTGAGTTGGTTTTTGGTCTCCATGTCATTTATTTCTGCTCTGATCTTTACTATTTCCTTCCTTCTACTTGTTCTGGGGTTTTCTTTTTGTTTGCTTTCTAGTTCTTTAAGTTGGGAGGTTAGATAGTTTATTAGAAATTTTTCTTTCTTCTTGAGGTAGGCCTGTAGTGCTATGAACTTCCCTCTCAGAACTGCTTTTGCTGCATCCCATAGATTTTGTGTTGTTGTGTGTTCATTTTCATTGGTTTCCAGAAACTTTTTAAATTTCTTCCTTGATCTGCATGGTTTCCCATTCATTGTTCAATAACATGCTATTTAGCCTCCATGTGATCCAATGTCTGTGTATGTTCTTTTGCCAATTGATTTCTAGTTTCATGCCTTTGTGTTCTAAGAAGATGCTTAATACAGTTTTGACCTTCTTGAAATGGTAGAGACTTAGTTTGTACCCTAACATGTGGTTTATCTTTGAGAATGACCCATGTGCCCTGGAGGAGAATGTGAATTGCATGGTTTTGGGGTGTAATTCTCTGTAGATATCTATTAAATCCATTTGATCTAGCGCTTCATTTAGAGTCTGTGTTTCTTTGTTAATTTTTTTGTTTTTGTCTAGAAGATCTATCCAGTGATGTCAGCGGAGCATTAAGTTCCCATGCTATGATTGTGTTGCTGTTGATTTCTTCTTTGAAGTCCTCCAAAAAATTTTCAGTATATGTTGGTGCTCCTAAATTGGGTGCATATATGTTACCAAGGTTATATCTTCCTGTTGGATAGATTCTTTCAATATTGTGTAGTGGCTTTCTTTGTCTCTAGTTATGGCCTTCATTTTGAAATCTACTTTATAAGAAATGAGTATTGCTACCCCAGCTTTTTTTTTCTATTCGTTTGCTTGAAAGAGTTTTTTCCATCCCTTCACTTTCAACCTATGTGAGTCTTTTGTTGTGAGGTAGGTCTCTTTTAAAGAACATATATGTGAGTCATGCTTTTTTATCCAGTCAGCTACTCTGTGTCTTTTTATCGGAGCATTCAAACCATTCACATTTAAGGAAATAATTGATATGTACTTATTTATTGCCATTTTTGTTTAGTCTGGTTCTATTTTTCTTCCTATTACTTCTGTTAGTCACAACAGTCCTTTTAGCATATCTTGCAGTGCTGGTTTGGTGTTAATATATTCCCTTAGTTTTTTTATTTTATTTTATTTCTTTGGTCTGGAAACTTCTTTATTTGACCTTCTATTTTAATGATAGCCTTGCTGGATAGAGTAGTCTTGGATTCAGATCCTTGTTTTTCATGACCTTGATTACTTCATGCCACTCCCTTCTGGCCTGTGGTGTTTCTGTTGAGAAGTCAGCTAAAAGCTTTATAGGATTTCATTGTAAGCATCCTGTTGCTTATCTCTTGCTGCCTTTAGGATTCTCTGTTTGTCTTTATTTTTGGCAGTTTGATTACTATGTGTCTTGGTGTGGGCCTGTTTGGATTCTTCTTATTTGGGGCTCTCTGTGCTTCTTGAACTTGAATGCCTTCTTCCTTCATCAAGTTAGGAAAGTTTTCTGTCACTATTTTTAAACATATTCTCTAACTCTTGCCCATTTTCTTCCTCCTCAGGAACTCCTATGATGCGAATGTTATTGCGTTTCCAGTTGTCCTACAGTTCTCTCCAGCTGTTTTCCTTTATTTCAATTGTTTTTTTCTTTTAGTTTTCTGATTGGTTGATTTTTTTTCTACCCTGTCTTCTAATTCACTGATCTGGTCCTCAGCTTCCTCTTCTCTGATGGTTAGTCCTTCCAATGTCTTCTTAATTTATTCTACGTCATTCTTTATTTTCACTTGGTTGGTTTTCAATGTTTCTATATCTTAACTCATGGTGCTGATGTCCTTACTCATGCTGTTGAGCTTCCTCCAGATCATGGCTCTGAACTCTACCTCTGATAATTTGCTTAGCTGCATTTCATTTATTTCATCTTCAATAGAGTTTTCTTGTTTTTTTCCTTTGGATTTGTTTCTTTGTTTCACCATCTTGGCTATCTCAATGGGTTTTGGAGCCTGCCAAATTTTCCCTGTGGGTGTTGGTGTTCTGCTGTTTGTGACTCCCTCTACAGGGTTCGGATGAGCATGTGTGGGCCCATGTTAAACACCACTGTCAAGTCTTACTTTCCTGGGTAGATTTGCAAGCCCAGGAAAGGTTCAGTAATCCTCTGGCTTCTTCCTTGTGGCTAGTAGTCTCAGTTTCTTAGTGCCTTGGAATGTAGCCCGGGTGTTCTACACAGGAGGATGTCCAAAGGGTGGGATAGATGCTGGTTGTTAATGAGCTTCAATTTGCATTTCTTTGCCTCACCTGGGAAAGGCTGAATCTCCGAGGGGCGTGGGCTGCTGCTTTTACCCACAGCTCTGGGGAGGAGCACACTGGCCACCATCTTTTGTGGCCACAACTCAGCAAAAACTCTGAGTGCCCTCCAAATCCCTGTTGTTCCCACAGAGTTCCAGCACAGTCTGCCTTCCCTCTGTGGTAGCCCCCAGGTGCGTGGCTGTGGCTATTTTAGTGCTCTGTCCGGGCACTCTGCACTGTGCATCAGGCTTGGTCTTTATTCTCCAAGGGCGCTGCTCATAACTAAGACTTCTGCTGTCCATGGGCTCCCAGCCTGCCACCCTCTTGTGCCTCCGCAGATTCTACCAATGTTCCTGGTTATATGGTCCTGTCCTGCTGCTTTTATGTTGCTTTTTTCTGAGGATTTGTCTTCATTTTAGTTGTAATTCCCATTTGGTCCTGGGAGATTGTCCGTGCAGCTTCCATTCACTCTGCCTCCCTTTTCACATCCTCTATGCCTATCTTGTGCACAACTAGGTCGCACAGGCCTTCCTGGTGCCCCAGCACCCTGCAGGTCCCACGGGTAACTGGATCAAACAGTTTCTTTAGGGACCCAGTTCTATGCCTATTTATGGGCTGCTGGGTCTCACAGGCCTGTCGGGTGCTTCAGCACCCCACAGGCCTTGTGGGTAACTAGATCACACTGTCCCTGCCGGGTAGTACAGTCCTCTCTGTTGCTTCAACACCCTGCAGATCCCCTGGGTAATTGGATGGCACAGGCCCTGCTGGATCACACAGGCCTCTTTGGTGCTTCAGCACCTGGCAGATCCCGTGGGTAACTACATCTCACAATTCCAGCTGGGTCGCACAGGCCTCTTTGGTGTTTCAGCACCCGGCAGGTCTTGCAGGTAACTAGATGGCACAGTCCCTGCTCGGTCATGCAGGCCTCTCTGGTGCTTCATCACCCCTCAGGTCCCATGGATAACTGAATTTCACAGTCCCTGCTGGGTTGCACAGGCCTCCCTGGTGCCCCCACACCCTGCAGTTCCCGTGGGGGGCAGTTGGATTGCACCAGTCTCTCTAGGGCTCAGTCTTTCCACTGCTCTTGTGAGCTATTGGACAGCACAGACCTCTGTGGAGTCCCAGGTCCTGCTGCTGGTGGCTGGGGAGTGCTGCTGCCCCTTAGGGATCAACTCCTGCTCAGCTTTTGCTGTAGTTTTTGGGTATGGGTCTCAGCTGCTGGTCTGTGCTTTTGTTGCCTGGGGATGGATGTCTGCTTTCTAGCCTCTGTTGCTGAAGTTATATCTGGACTCTGATGGGGCTGCTACTATGGGGGATGGTGCTGAGCCTGGGCTGTCTGTGGCTTCTGTGACCGGCACCTTGGGAGCTCCACTACTATGCACCAGTCTGTGTTGACACAGAGTGTCCACTGGTCCAATAGTGCCAGGTGTGCTGGTGAGCTCGGGTTGCTAGGCCTAGCCGCTTCCACCGCCTCCTCCCAGGGAAGACCCGGGATCTTCCAAAATGGTGGGACCTCCCCGTAATACAGGGAGAAGTGCCCTGAAGAGCTGCTTACCGCGGTAGCCAGCTGCTCTCGTCCACAGCACAGGAACTTCCTGCTGAGCAGCTCTGCATTGCTGGGGTTTGGTAGTCCATTTTCACTTCCACTCACACTCTCTTACACACTTGCTCACTCTCACACACTCCCCCTACCTCTGGTCCTGCCTGCCACCATCTTCCATGAAATTCCAAGCATAGCATTTTTAAAATCACATTTTAAAACCTCACCTTAAGAGTTTAAAATATATATAAATACAAAGTTAATTTCACTACAGTTTCTGTTATTTGGAAGCAACATAAAGCCTAATTCACAATAATGACAAACATGATCTTCATGAGGTTATGAATATATGTAGCCACTTATTTTGGGCAAACTTTATAAAGTTATAATTTACATAATGTAAAATTACCTACTTAAAGTATACAGTTGAGTAGTTTTTAGTATATTCACAGAGTTGTGCAATCATCAACATAACTGATTTTTATGACATTTTTTATTTTAATTTTTGATTTTCAATTACCGTTTACTTTCAATATTATTTTGTATTGATTCCGGGTGTATAGCAAAGTGGCTACCAGTGGTTCTCAACCTGTGGGTTGCGACCCTTTTGGGGGTCAAAGGACCCTCTCACAGGGGTCGTCTAAGACATAACAGTAGCAAAATTATAGTTATAAAGTAGCAACAAACATCATTTTATGGTTGGGGGTCACCGCAACATGAGGAACTGTATTAAAGGGTCATAGCATTAGGAAGGTTGAGAACTACTGGCAGACAATCATATACTTTACAAAGTGCCCCCCCCACCTGATATTTCCAGTATCTAACTGGTTCCGTAGACAGTTATCACAATATTATTAACTATATTCTCTATGCTGTACTTTACATCTCCATGACTGTTTTGTAACTACCGATTTGTACTTCTTCATCCTTTCATTCTTTCACTAAGTCCCCCAACTCTTCTTCCATCTGCCAATCACCAGTGTCTATGAGTCTGTTTCAGTTATGTTTCTTCATTTATTTTGTTCTTTAGATTCCACATATAGGTGAAATCATATGGTATTTATCTCTCTGACTAACTTATTTCACTAAGTGTAATACCCTCTAGGTCCATCCATGTTGTTGCACATGGTAAATTTTTTTATGATCAAGTAATATTTAATTTCATATATATAACTGCTTTTTTTATCCACTCATCTACTGATGAGCACTTGGGCTGCTTCCAAATCTTGGCTATTGTAAATAATGCTATAATGAACATAGGGGTGAATATATTCTGTTTTATTTAATTTTTAAAATATTTTATTGATTTTTTCAGAGAGAGAGGGAGAGAGAAAGAGAAACATTGATGTGAGAGCAAAACATCGATTGGCTTCCTCCTGCATGCCCCTTACCAGGGATTGATCTCTCAACCTGGGCATGTGCCTTGTCCAGGAATCGAACCCACAACCATTCAGTGCATGGGAAGATACCCAACCAACTAAGCCACACCAGTCAGGGCCCATATATTCTTTTGAATTAGTTTTTTGGGTTTCTTTGAATAAATCCTCAAAAGTGGAATAGCTGAGTCATCAGGCAGTTCCATTTTTAATTTTTTGAGGAACATTGATACCATACCAATCTGTATTACCTTCAACAGTGCATGAAGTTTCCCTTTCACCACATCCTCACCAACACTTGTCATTTGTGCATTTATTGATGACATTTACTCTGACAGGTGTCAGGTGATATCTCATTGTGGTTTTAATTTGCATTTCTCATAATTAGTGATGTTGAGCATCCTTTCATATGTCTATTGGCCATCTGTATGTCCTCCTTGAAGAAGTGTCTATTCAGGTTCTCTGTCTATTTTTTTTTAACATTGTCTTCCCTCTCTGTGTGTCTGTCTCTGTAAGAACACCACTCATATTGGATTAGGGCTCACCCCAATAGCCTCATCTTACCTTGATTACATCTATAAAGATCTATTTTCTTTCATGTTATTTAATTAATTAAGTTTTGTTACAGATGTTTCTCCTTTTTCCCCATTGACACCCTCCCCTCATTTCCAACCCCCCCTCCCGCATTGTTGTCTGTGTCCATTGGTTATGCTTATATGCATAAGTTCTTTGGTTTATGTCTTTCCTCCCCACACCCCCTCTGAGTGTTATGCTAATTGAAATAAGCCAGTCAGAGAAAGACAAGTATTACTTGATCTCACTTATTTGTGGAATATAATAAACAAAATAAGCTGATGAACAAAATAGACCCAGAGACATAGAAGTAGGATTCAGACTGTCCATTTAAAAATATTACTTTTTGTTGATTTTAGAGTGAGAGGAAGGAAGAGGGAGAGAGAGATAGAAACACTGATGAGAGAGAACATCTATTGGCTGCCTCTTGCATGCCCCCCACTGGGGATTTGGCCCACACCTAGGCAAGTGCCCTGACCAGGAATCAAACTGGCGACTTCTTACTGCATGGGTCAATGCTCAACCACTGAGCCATATCAGTTGGACCAGACTGTTCATTTTTTAATTGGATTGGTGTGTGTGTGTGTGTGTGTGTGTGTGTGTAGTTTTATGAAATTTTTATAAATGTTGGATATTAACCCCTATCTGATGTATGATTGGCAAATATTTTCTCCCATTTAGTAAGTTGTCTTTTTGTTTTGTTGATGGTTTCCTTTGCTGTGCAAAAACTTTTAAGTTTGATGTAGTCTCATTTGTCGTTTATTTTTTCTTTTCCTATTTAATTTATTGGAATGATATTAGTTAATAAAATTATATAGGTATACAATTCTATAATGAATATTGTAATGTGTGCTCACCACCCCCAATCAAGTCTCTCCTCATCAACATCTATCCCCCATTACCTTTTCCACCCCTTTGGTAATCACCATATTGTTGTCTGTGTCTATGAGTTTTTTGTTTTTATGTTTTTTATCCCTTAATTCCTTCCCCCTTGTTAACCCAGCCTTCAACCCCTCCCCTCTGATAGCTGTCAGTGTGCTCTCTGTTGTGCTAGAGAACCAAGAGAACATCAGAGCCAAATTAAAGCCAAATAGAGAGCAAAGCCGGCCAGCAACTGATCCCCAGTTCTCAGAGATCAGCCCCGACTTTCAGCTGATTTTATTACAAACTTCTGCAACTAGCATTTCTTGTTGGCCTTGGGAAAGAGCAAGCAAGCAAGTACAGAAGCAGAGGCAGTTATCAATAAGTGGGAGGGAACGGAGGTGGGAGGGAACTAAGGCGAAAGGGAACTGGGTGAACTGGGTCAGCATGCATCTATCCTGCTATTCATTACATTTTCTAGGTTCTAAAAACTAACAAATTTACTTAGAGGACAAATTCATTTAGAGGAGTACCAGGCCAGCTGATACTTCCTCAGTTTGCCTCTGAAAGCCTCATAGTTGGCCTTTTGTTTATCCAATCAGGACAAAGTGATGGGAGCAGGCCAGTACATTCTCTGTATCTATGAGTGTGTTTCTATTTTGTTTGTTTACTTTATTTTGTTCACTACATTCCACACATAATTGAAATCATATCATATTTGTCTTTCTCTGATGGGCTTATTTCACTTAGTACAATACTCTCCAGTTTCATCCATGCAGTCTCAAAGAGTAAGAATATCTTTCTAATTACAGTCAAGTACTATTCCAGTATGTGAGTTTACCACAGGTTTTTTTTATCCACTCATCTACTATTGAATACTTGAGCTGCTGCCAAATCTTGGTTATTGTATATAAGACTGCAATGGACATAGGATTGCATATATTCTTTCAGATTAATGTTTCAGTTTCTTCAGATATATTCCCAGAAGTGGAATTGCTAGGTCATAAGGCGGTTCCACTTTTAATTTTTTGAGGAAACTCCACACAGCTTTCCACAGTGGCTGCACCAATCTGCATTTCCACCAACAGTGCACGAAGTTTCCCTTTCTCCACATCACCCCCAGAACTTGTCGTTTGTTGATTTATTGATGATAGACATTCTAACAGGTGTGAGGTGATATATCATTGTAGTTTTAATATGCATTTCTCTGATGTCTGGTGATATTAAGCATCCTTTTCCATGTCTATTGGCCATCTGTATGTTCTCTTTGGAAAGTGTCTATACAGGTCCTTTGTGCATTTTTATTTTCTTATTAATTAATTAATTAATTTTTATTACAGATGTTTCTCCTTGCCCTCCCACTGATTTACTCCTTCCCCACCCTCCCCACCCTGTCCCCAGCTTTGTTGTCCATTTCCATTGTTCATATATACATGCATATTAAGTTCTGTGGTTTGTCAATCCCCCACTACCCCTTCTTCTGGAAATTGTCAGTCTGTACCCCACTTCCATGTCTCTGGGACTACGCTATTCCTCAGACTGTAATGTTCATTATATTCCACAAATAAGTAATCATATGATACTCGTCTTTCTCTGTTTGGCTTCTTTCACTTAGGATAATACTTTCCAGTTCCCTCATTGTCGTCTCAAAGGATAAGAGATGTTTATTTCTTATAGTTACATAGTACTTCATCGTGTATATGTATGAAAGCTTTTATATTCATTCATCTACTGATGGACATTAGGGCTGTTTCCAGATCTTAACTATTGTAAATAGTGCTGCTACAAACATGGGGGTACATATATTCTTTCTGATTGTTGTTTCAGGATTCTTAGGGGATATTCCTAGAAGTGGGATCACTGGGTCAAATGGCAGTTCCATTTTTAATTTTTTGAGGTAACACCATATTGTTTTCCATAGTGGCTACACCAGTCTACATTCCCGCCAGCAGTGTACTAGAGTCCCCTTTTCTCCCCATATTCACCAACACTTGTTGTTTGATAATTTGTTGATGACGGCCATTCTGACAGGTGTGAGGTGATACCTCATTGTTGTTATAATTTACATCTCTGTGATGGTTAGTGACGTTGAGCATTTCTTCATATGTCTCTTAGCCATTTGTATGTCCTGTTTGGAGAGGCATCTAGTTCCACTGCCCATTTTTTAAT